GATTTCAAGGAGTTACTTCATAAATGCCTGATGATTGAGCAAGCATATGACAACATGTTATATTACTGAAATGCCTCATGTGCCACATAAGGTCCCCACAAAGAGTCACAGCTAGTCCATGCACATAAACCAACATTCATGGACTGTTAATTATTATATTATTTCTATTTAAGAGAATAAAAGGACTCTCAAGTATACAGTAGTCTTGAAATGTAGTCTTTGGAAGAGCTTTTTGGAACTAAAGCTAGTATCTTGGGTTCAATGATGCCTGCTAGTACTTTCTGAACACTCTCATTCTGTTTGTTGCTTTCAAAGAAAAGTAAAGGCTGAGCTTCTTAAAATCTAGCCACTGCTGAGGATCTCATAATCTAACCACTGCTTACTCATGTGCAGACTCCTTAAGAGTCTGCCAATATGACAATATTCTAATCAACCTTGTCTTTGGCTACAAGAGGGCTTCGATTGAATTCTTTTTGGAAGGACCCACATGTTGTGATTTTGGATTCCCAGGACCCTGAACCTCTAAACGCACATTTTGTGGCCCATATGGGGAAACACCTAACCCCAAGTTCTCCAGCCAAGACTGGAAGTCGTGTAAACCTCCCCCCTCCCCTCCTTTCTTGCTCTTCAGTTAGGGTTGCTCTCCAAACACCAATGCTTGGAGGTACTTTTGGCAGACAGTTATGAGGCTGTCTCACACTCAGCCTGCTGCTCTCTGGCTCACGGTCTGCGGGGTCGGTTCAAGGCCTGAACCTGGGTACACCATCTGCAGCACAGAGGACAAGGAAGGACAGACTATCTGGAAGTGTATGCTCAATTGTATTAATTCCCTGGGCACTAGGGAATTGGGGAAGACTGCAGTTGCTTTTTGGTTCCCTGAGGCTTCCTTCCTCCTTTCCCTCTCCACCTCTGAATTCTCTTTCATGGAGTTTACAGAGAAAGTTACAGTAGTAAAAATATCTTGGCAGATGCTGGAGGTTTTGTGATTGAGGAGTTCAGAACTCCTCCTTACAACCCTGGTCACTCTTATTCCCACTCCCTTCACTGGAGTCAAGAGGGTATCTGGAACCCCTCTCATAGGACAAGAGAGTTTCATCCTTTCCCTCTCACCTTTGATTTCGCCCTACCCTACATGGGAAAGGAAGGAGGGGGAAGGGGCAGCAGCTACAGCATGGGCCCCACTGGCAATGGCCTTGGGCTCGGGGGCAACCTGTGCCTGGAAGCATCACCCAGGTTCAGCACATCCTGCTCAAGCTAAAGAAGCTGGCCTCTGAACTTGGCTAAGCATGCTCTTTGAAATTGGCAGTTTTCACTGTTAAAGATGAGATGTTGATTCTCTGTGGAAAGTAATTTGGAAATGCATTGAACAAAACTGAAGTCACCTGAGTAGTAATGGCTTTGTTTCAAGTTTCAAATTGGTGAGATTTCTGTTATCAGGCATGTCAAGCAACTTTTCATAATTTGGTTACCACTAAACTGATTTAGCCATTGTGGTTACCGTTTCAATGTGTAAACTAGTCAAAAAGCTTGTTTGGGTTATGTGTGGCTTGCTGAGAATTTGCAAGTGTATAGAAATCTCTAATGATTGGCTCTTTACACTTGGATATATTGAAGTTTGAGGTGTAACTCCTGGAAAAGATTTTCCTAAGCTGTAATTAGTAAAATGTGCTGTTTGAGGTAAAAGCTTATAGGATTTGATTTTGAGTTGGGTGATGGGTCATAATCAATTGAATCAATAATCCACCACCTGAGAGAAATGCCACCAGCTACTTAGAGAAGGTGACACTGGTGGGAAGTCAGCATCAGGAAAAGCTGAGAGGATAATTTTAGCCTCAGTCTAAGATGTGATCCTCTTGGCTGAATTTCCCCATTATGTTCCTTTGACAGGAATGTTACCCGCCTGGCTATTCCTGAGTCCAGCTATGAGGTGGATTTCATACAGGGTGTTTGGAAAACTGAATTATCTGAAACCAAACAGAGCTAAGCATGTTTTCTCCTCTCATATTTGGGCCCTAAATCTCTAGTCCCTGTTTCATATGTGGGCCCTGCATTTTTTTTTTCTCTCAGAGTTCTGTCTTCCACACTCCAGGCCATTCACCTACAGTTGGTAGCAAAACAGCAAGTAGCAGCCAGTGTCCCCATGATGGGGTGTGGGCCCAAGCCAAGATCTTCGAGGAGAAAAAACACAGGCAGAGGGCTAGAGACAACAAACATGCTTGATTCCTGGCTGCTACCATGGTCAGGAAAAGACCCAAGGGTGTTCCCGGCAACTTGGGCAGTGGGAAAACCTGCTTCTGATGCCAGCAGGAGGGTAACTGTTCCAAGGAGTGCCCTCCAGCGCATGCCCTAGGAGGAAGCCCAGCAACTCAGGCAGGGGAGGCCACAGGGAGCCCCCGAGATGGACACCTCCAGGACCTTGCCCAAGATGTGACCAGGAGGGGCATTGGAAGAAAGATTGTCTCCAAGGTAGAAGTGGTAGAGCAGCTACTAGTACCCTGTCCTCCAGTCTTCTCAAGACTGGGGAGGACAAGGGAGCCTGGATCCAGGCAACACTCCCACTTTCTCCACCTCTCTCACCAACCCCAGGGCAGAAATCGAGGCTGAATGTAAGGTTACCCACTTTACCATGGCTGTGCTCTTTGCTTTAACCAATCACTGTGTCCCTAATGGCCCCATGACCCAATGGGCATTGAAGGGGTAACTTAGAGATGTCTCCAGACAGACCCGTTGAGAATCTGTTGTTTAAACACTCCTCCTTCATGTTCTCCTCTTGCCCTGCCCCCTCCTTAGGAAGGGACCTGATGGTGAAGTTGGGGAGGCAATTTTCTCTACTTCAGCCTCCCATATCCCTTTTCCCTCTGTGTACCACACCTCCCCATGTTCCCCTGGAAGTGTGGGAGACAATTTTGGATCAGGGAATTCCTGGGCAAACTACTCTTGCCACCCCGGCTGTTCTTCACCTCCAAGACCCTAAAGTATTTTCCCATAGCTTTAGTTGTAGACCCAGCCAGAGAGCTTCTTTGGCCTCTGCCTCAGGAGTGCTTAATTTCTTGGGAACTTAAGCCTATAGGGTCCCTTTGAGCAAAGTACACATAGCATGCCAGTCTGTAAAGTTTCGGGCCACCCTCTTCTGGTCCCAGCCACTAAGAAACAATTTTAAACTTTTCTAGGCTTGGCAAGATTTTCTAGACTCTGGATACCTAATAATAGTTTTATTGTTATGCCCTTTTATGATGTGCCTCTGGGTCCTGACTCATTCCGTGAAGAGTGGGGACTGGACCAGGCTAAAGCTTTTGTGATTTTAAAATCTAAATTGACTGCCATGCCCCTAACTAAGTTCTTAGGACCTGATCTTAGCCAGGTTGCTCATTTTTCAAAACCCTTAGACTTTGTTGCTGCTAGATGTCCTGCAAGCCTCCAGGCAGTGGCTGCTACACTCATTCTGTTTGAGGAAGCCTCTCAATTTACATTTGGCCTCCAAAAGTGGGAAGATAACTCCCTGGTCAAACTGGGAAACCAGGTAGACCACTTACACTCTCATCTCCACAAAGCCCCCCTCCACAATACGACTTTTTCACAAGTTTATGCCACCTCATTTATTCTTCCACTTCTCTATGGGCTACTCTTTCTATATGTACAACTTGCTTCTCTGCAGGGCAATATTCCCATACTTAGGAGACAAGCTCCAAGGCCACTAGACAAGTTAACATCACTGTGGAGACAGGTCTTATAAGAGTTCCTGCTAATCTTCTGACCTGCATTACAGTCTGTGAAGATGCCACTAGTGGCAAGAATTTGGAGGAAAAGGTGAAACGAAGTGCCAACACATGCAAGACCCCAGAACTACTGTCCTGGCTACCCAATGTTTGACAGCCTACAAAGACTTTGGGGTGTGCACCTTCAGAATTTTAGTACCCCTCTTTTCCATTTTCAATGACATGGCCCACAGTCTCTACCTTAAGGGCAAAACATGGATTTTGGGGACATGTCCTCTGGCAAATGTGATACCTTGTGGTCTCTGGGAAATCCAGCAATCTTTGCATTCCTTAGTAAAAGCAGTTGAAGATAATAGAATAGCCTGAAACTGCTTACTTGACTCCAGTGGGGTGTATATGCTTTAGCTAATGCATCTTGTGGCATGTACATCAACAACTCTGGGCAGGTAGAACTCTGCTCTGAACATATTTTGGAAAAGGCCAATTGGATGCAAGAAATTCACAATCACCTCAGTGCTACAAACCATCTTTTTCATGTGAGTCCTGGCTTCTTTCTGTGCTGGCCCCTATTATTTCCCTACTGATCATATTTCTCTTGTGTTTCTTTGGTCCATGTTTACTGCCTATTCTTGCCAGATTCCTTTCTTCTGGGGTCAGAGCCATTAACTTCCAGATGACTGCTCAGGCTGTAAATCCCAACATTCACAGACAGAGTCTGAAGTGTCTAGCCCACTGAAGCTGGCATCTGCCACGTTCTGAATTCTGACCCCTAGAACTGCACCCAGAGAGGCAGGGACAGCTCTATGCCCTTTGCCAGCAGGAAGCAGTTTCAGAAGCCTAGACCTTCACCCCTTACAGCAAAAGAATTTGGGTCCCATTTGTTTGAGCGGGGAATGATGGGATATGGGTACAAGCAGAGATCTTCACCCCTTGACCAAAGGAAATCTGACTCCCATTTGTCTACAGGCCCCAGCCATTCATCTCCCTTTGAAAGCCTTAGCTCTACCTTTTGATCTTATTCTGATGAGCCTTTGCCCCTTGCCCTCAAAAGAATCTGGCTCCCATTTTCCCAGAGGTCCCAGAAAACCTTTACATTTTTAGGTTCTCTATTGACTCCCCTTATCTCCCTTTGAAAGTCCTAGCCCCACTTTTTGATCTTATGCAGATGCCTTCCAGTTCCCTTCATTATCTATTCCCATTGTCTATTGAACCTCTCAGACCATCCAATCCGAATTCTTATGTAGACCCTTTTCCCAGCCCCCTGCTCTAGCCCTCCAAAGTTACCTTAGTGTATATGAAATCCACGTTGGCCCCCATTCAGATGCTGAGAATCTCTCATGCTTCAAAAGCTGAGCTTTTCTTCTGCTTGCTCCTCCTTAGGGGTGTCATCTGGCCTATAGGATTTATGACTAATAAACTTTTTCTCTGGCTGGAAGAAGATTTGAGTTGAATTCATTCAGGCGGGGTCTGGTGTCACGATCTTGGGGTTCAAGCAGAGCACCCCAAACATCTAACCTCTTCACCCACATTTTTTCTGTGGATGCAGCCTGCACTTGGTTCCAGACACCCTCTTGTTTGGGAGGCCCTCGAGGCACAGACAGCTCTATGCCCCTTGCCAGTGGGTAGCAGTTTCAGAAGCCAAAACCTTTGCCCCTTCTTCCAAAAGAATTTGGTTGCCATTTGTTTGAGGGGAGAATGATGGGGTTGGGATCTGAGCCCCAAAAAGGAAAGACCCTGGACTCTCCCAAATGGCTAAATCTGTGGATTTTGCCTTTCAACTGGTCTTTCCTGGCGGCTACACCCAAACTGCCCTCCATTGTCTTAATTCCTTATGGCCCCAGGCCACTTCCCACCCTCAAGGACTACTTGGCCACTCCTAGATCCCTCCCACAGTCATTCTGTTTATAAGGTCTATTTTGCCTCCATCTCAGTCCTGAGATTCTTATAGTGTAACCACTGCTTATTCATGTTTGGGCTCCTTAAGACTTTGCCTGACATGACAATATTCTAATAAACCTTGTCTTTGGCTGAAAAAACAAAAAGAAGAAAAGTAAAGACAAAATTGTTGGATCAGTATTGCAATTATGTAGTGTAATTTCTGAAAACAAAACAAATCTGAATAGCAAAATTGATATATTTAAAGCCTAAGAGCATTGCAAGAAGACAAACTTTTTGAAAAACTGAACTATCGAGAAAGAAACAAATAAATAAATAAAATAAAACATAATATGGAAATGACAACCCCTACTTCCATCCCAAACTGGTGAAAGGGGCAAGAAGTAAGAGCCCACTTGTGTGTCTTATTGGAGGGGTACACTCCCAAATGTGCAACCATGGAGAGGGTTTCTTGCTCAAAATCCTGAAATCCCTGAATCAGCAGCTGGAGATACCTGTTTTGATAAATCAGGGCCTTCAGGGAGCTCTCTGCTGGTAGGAAATGCAGATACGACTTTTCCATCTTCAAAGGAAAAGAAGAGGATAATGAGATGAAGTGGCTGGCACTCTGTTCATGCCGACGATGTTGTGGCCCACCATTCTGCTGCCATGCAGGTTGTCAGCTAGTATTCTTCCACACCGCCCCCCTGCCCTGGCTCCTCTAGGTAACCAGCAGCCCACTGGCATCCTTGTGATTGCCTCATGAGTGGTGTCTACAGAAGCCACAGGAATGAATGCCCAGGTCATCTTTCCATACCCCAAGCCCTTGGGCAGGAGACAGCCTTGCAGGCCCCCACAATGCCTGAGGTCTTCCTCCCTCATATCTTGCTCTATCTTGCCTTACCCTGTAGAGAGATGTGCTCCCTCCTTGGCTGCTTTCACTTTTGAAGGCAGCTTTCACCATCCCTGACTTGCTGTGCCTCATGCCTTGTGAAGCCATTTTCTCTTGTCTCCAGACAGCTTTCTCAGCTTCTGGCAACGGGCCAATGTGGTCCATAGATTTGTACTTCAAACAGAAATGACAAAAGTAAAGGAAGCTTATCAGCCTCTGAGGATACAAGCATCAAGTTGGAGGGAGGGCTTCCCTAGATGGCATGTGCCAGGGCTGTACACACACCCAGAGGAACTTCCTCCTCCTTGCATGGTCAGATGCAGGTATGTGTCCCACTGAGTCTTTTACAAAGAAGCTCAAATTGTGACTCCTTCTACTACTCCCAGGGGAGATGAGGTGAATCGTATTTCCCAGGAAGGCAATATTGTCACCAATTAGGCCCCAGGGCATCAGTGGGTCAAGAACAAACACCCAACATCTGTAAAACAAGACCTGATGGAAAGGCAGCTGGGGCCTCCCCTCAACCAGGCTGCTAGTTTCTCTCTGGAGCTCCTTTTCGAGTAGGCACCTACTAAATTAAATGGCAGGCCAAAGCAGAGTGACTCAGACCCAGAAAACTAGGAGTGAGCTAGGTAGGACCAGTCCCCCACAGTGTAGAGTAGCAGCCTTGGCTGCTGGGACAGAGAGCAGGCCTGCCAGGTCCCTGAGGCCTGAGGATGTCAGAGCTAAGTCTGATTGGACATTCCTGGGCAAATGAAGCTAGTAAAGAGAGAGGCACAGGGTTCCTGGCCTACCATGGACAGACCGTCTTCTCTCCCAGGAAGGGATTGTAAGATCCTCCCCTTTTTCTGCAACCACCCTGAGCCTTACTCTGCTTTTTCACATGTGCCAAAGCAGGTGTCTTGCTGAGTAGTGCAGACAGTATAAAGAGCTTTGGCCCTACCTAGGTTCTCTTCCTGCTTCCTCACTTTATACACGACCCAGCAGTGATTTTTCCTGAGCTCTTGTAGCCAACGGCAGAGGCTCTCCACCAATGAAAACCACCTGCCAGACCTGTTCATGACCACCCCATGACCCTGCCCCTCTAGCCACTCTGGGCCCACTACTGGGAATTGTAGCCAGGGCACCTCCAGCTGCACCCCCAACCCCTCCCAGAGGAACACGAGTAAAGCAGGAGCCGAGGTGGAGGATGGGCCCACAGCCATTCTCCAGATGGGGTTTGCATGTCTTCTCCAGGCGGGACACAGTTCTGCAAATCTCCACCTTTTTCTGGGTCATGGTGCTCAGGGCATTCCTGAGAGAGCCATTGTCCTTCAGAAACACGTGGATGACACTGATTTATGCCCGGGCATTGTTTTTCAGGAGAAGACCAGGGGTGACTATTCATGGCTGGGAACCATTTAGCAAAGCCAAGGCCTCCTTCCCAAGGGATCTCCTAGGGCAGTCATAGCCTAATGATGAGAGGGATGCGAAGAAAGGAGATACAGCCAGGTGAGGACTGGGGCACAGCAGTGACACCAGAAGAACCTGGGACCCTGGTCACAGTTCCAGGGTGCAAAAGGGTACTTCTGATTGCTCACAGACCAGAGGTTAGGAGGCATGGGTTAGAACAGCAGTGACCACATCTCTCCTAAATCATTCCATCTGGGAAGAACTGAAAACTTGCAGGCCCCTGTCACTAGCTCTGAAAACACCTTTTAGACCAAGTAATCAAAGGTATATATAATCATATAGAAAAATGCTCTAAATCACAACTGACTGGAGACATGCAAATGTCAACACCTTTCAGTTACCAGCCCCCACCTATCAGACTGGCTCTTATGAAAGGAAAGGAAAATGGGAAATGTTGGAAGAGATGTGGGAAAATTGAGATACGAATGTACTCTTGCTGGAGTGGTGAACTGATTTCATCACTATGGAGAACAACTTGGTACTAAACCCAAAGAGCCATAAAACCATGGATACCCTCTGATCCAGCCATACCACTACTAGGTCTGTATCCCAAAGGGATAAAAAAAAAAAGGAAAAAGAAGTATATGTACAAAAATATTGATGGCAGCTCTTTTTGTGGCAGCAAAGTAGTGGATATTGAGTGGATGTCCATCAATCGGTAAATGCTGAATATTGTGGTATATGATTGTGACAGAATACTACTTTGCTATCAGAAATGACAAGCAAGATGCCTTCAGGAAAACCTTGCAAGACCAGTATGAACTGAGGCCACATGAAATGAGCAAACCCAGAAGAACCTTGTACACAGTAACAGAAATATAGTGTGATGATCAGCTGTGAAAGACTTCATTATTCTCAGCAGTGCAATGAACTGATGGTGTCTGAATGTAGATCAAAGCCTCCTTTTTTAGACTTTATTGTTCTTTTCTTTTGGGGGGAGGAGGGATTGCTGTGTTTCCTTTCACAGCAGGCTAATGTGGTTTGTACACATATATCCTATGTCAAACTGCTTGCCTTCTCAATGAGGGGGTGGGGGAAGGAGGGAAGAAGAGAATTTGGTACTTAGAGTATTAGAAAGTGAATGTGAACAATTGTTTTTACATGTAATCAAGAAAAAATGAAATATGAAGGTTTTTTCGATGTCTTGTCCTTCTTTACAATGATGACAATTTCATTCTTTACAAGGTTCAAGGAGCAACAGGGGAATGTCTATCTGGACTTCACTCTTCCGAACAGGAAGGAACTAGTTGTTGGAATAGAAAGGATGGGAAACTTTATGGGGACGGACCCCAAACACCAAGAGTTTGCATTAAGGGAAAGGATGACCACGCAATGTGTGATATGAACCCCACCTTCAAGGAGAGCAGATTTCTAAAGATTCAAAGGGAAGTGAGATAGAATATCCCAGGGTCTACAATTCTTTAGGGGACATCTCAGCAGAAGGGATGGAGAATTCTTAAGAATGAAATTCTGATACCATCTTCTGCAACAGTTATAAAGAGGTAGAGCTAAATGAAGCTGAGATTCCTCAACCAATATAGTTTTTTAAAAGATAGAGAGGATTCTGGGAAGATAGAGTAGTAGGTGAGAAAATTCCAACCTTTTAAGATTTTCCCCCACAAAAAAAGATGACATAATGAATCATGGTGACTATTCAGCATTGAAAACAAAGAAAAGTATGCTTAGAACAGGGGGTCTCATGGCACAATTGGAGAATCAGTCCTAAGAGACCGAGAAATAATGAAACAAAACAATAGAAGAGAATGTGAACAGATGAAGAAGAGAAAACATAAAAGTAAATGGTCGACCTAAAAGCTATGATAAACAAAAACTCTTCATACAATAATTCCAGAAATAATGAAAGAAAACTGTCCTGAAACATTAGGACAATAGGGGAAAGTAGAAATAAAAAAAATCTACCAATTGGCACCTAGAAGAGATCCTATGACAAAAACCCACAGGAATATTATAGTCAAATTCTGAAACCCCCAACTGCTGAAAAATATTATGAGCAACAAGAAAAAAAAAATTAACATATCAGGGCCACAATTACAATCACATAAGACCTAGTAGCAGGTCTTAGAACATTATATATCAAAGAGCAAAAGAACTTGGGTTCCAGTTGAAAATATCTCATCCAGCAAAGCTAAGCATAATCCCAAATGAAAAGGAAATGTACATTTAATAAGTTGTCAGGTTTTCAGCAGTGTGTTAAAAAAAAAAAGAAAATATGGACAGCTCTGAACACAATGCACAATAGTTATGATACAGGCTTTCTTGAAATGGAAATTTATTGTTATATATTCTGAATCCCCACTTCAGTTCTACTGTACATGTGACATGTTTGTTGTTCTTTTCTTATGCATTTAAGTTTTAGCACTTCAGTCAAAAAAAAGAAAAGAAAAGAAAAGAAAGATAGCCAGCTGTAAGACAGGGGAGGTAAAAAGTATGCATGGCAAAGGATGGCAGAATCCTGTGGGAAGACAGGGAGAGGTATTGAAGTCCAATATGTGCTAAGGCTGAAGAGGAAAGAGGAGGCTATCCACAGAAATACTGGGAGAGAACAAGAGCAATTATACTGGACAAAAGAACAAAAAAGCAGAAGATTTGGCTTTGGAAGCAAAGGGACCTTTGGACTAGAAAGAACAGAATAAAATGGCCAAGATCAGCAGGAGGATAAGAAGAACACAGCTTACTTATCCATGAGGAGACCAAGTTACCAGGCCTGAGTGAACCATATGCTGGAACACTAAAATGCTAGCAGAGGTCACTGGAGAGCCTCTAGCAGACAGCTCTGAGAAGTCCACATCATGTACCTTTTTCAAAGTGAGACAGTGAAGAGTTTCAACTCTAGATCAATGAGTTTGTCTTCAATTCCTGGAAAACTCCTAGAACATACTATTAAAGGGATGGCTAATGAACATCTAGAATAGGCAAAGCCATCAAAGCAAGCTAACATGCCTGCTTCCATCCAGGATGGATGAACCCAATATCCACTGCTCCTTTTCTGAAGGGGTGACAAGGCTGTTGAGTCAGGCATAACACACACACACACACACACACACACACACACACACACACACACACACACACAGCACACTACCCACATGCGCTAAGACACACACTCACTTCAAATACAGAGTTGTCCCAAAACCATTTTCATGGAGTTTTAAGTTATCAAAGCTTCAATCTGCAAGGAGCCTTTTGGGACAATCAGCACGTCTCTGGAGAATTACTACATGACAGACTGGGGAGGAGGCAGTGACTTCATGTAAAAGGTGGTGGGTGACGTGGGTCTGCCAGTGTGCAGTCACAGGACAGGGGCACATTTCCAGCATGGCAGATATCCATTGCCAGCAAGGTCACAGAGAGTGGAGTTGCAGTGAAGCATGTGGCTGTAAAAAGCTTAAAAGCTACACAGACACATTGACATCTTCTCCTGCAGGCAATAGGGAGCCCTGGGAGCTGATAGGGCAGGGCAGTGTAAAGCAACTAAAGGAAAAGCCCCTTGGCAATGCTGTGTAGGACAGAAGGAGGTGCAGAGAGATTTGAGGCAAAGTGCCTAGCCAGAAGGCCAAGGAAAAAACTGGGGGAGAGCTGATAAGGCACGCAGGAAGGGCATGGCCATGTAAGCAGAGACCATGGCCAGTGGAGGTAGCCCAAACAAGTCTGTTAACTTCCCTGTGGCCAGGGAAACATCAGACTCAAGGAGAATCTGGGAGTTTGGGCAGAGGGGCGATTTGGAGTGGTAGAGGAGGTGTTTAGGCCTGCTGTGATAGAGACATCTCAGGGGGTCTCCGGCAGGCCATTGGTGAAGCTTGGAGCTCAAGGCTCCAGGGCACAGTTGGGCAGGAGACACAGATGGAGGCCGCATCATCGCAGATGACAGGGTCACTTCGACAGCACAGAACAAAGAGGGTCAAGGACAGACCCTGGAAGAAGCCCCTGAAACATAGATCCTGATCCCAACAAGTAGGCAAAGGATGAGGAGTCAACAAGGTAGGAAGAGCAGGAGGGGGTGAGTCAAGGGCACCTTGTAGGTCGAGCACAATGAGAACTGACAAAAGACCATCAGGTCTGTTCAGTAAGAGGTCACTGGAGCATTTGGAGAGAGCAATTTCAAGTGTAGGATGAGGACGGTCATAGGAGAGCCCCACTAGCTAAGCTGGTGGGTCTCCTAAGAGCCTCAGGTCTGGAAGGATGTCAGGGGCCAGCCAGTCCACATCCTCTTCCCCCTGGTCCTGGTAAGGAAAGGTCAAAGGGGTCAAGTGATTTGCCAAGGTCACACAGCTATTGAGGAGCAGAGCCAAGACCTAGTACTTGATACCATCTGCTTTGTGTCTTCACAAGTTAGACCACTGGACCAAGTCTGTGAAGAAGAAATGCAATAGGAATAAATGTGAGGATTCTCCTTGGCTCCACAAGTACAAGATGGAGGAGCAGGAGTCCCCGGGGTATATGTAGTCCTCAGTGTGTGATAGCAGCCCAGAAGGTCTCCATCCACAAGAGAGGCCAGGATCCAAGAGCTGAGAGAAGCACTCACTGTAGCCTGCCCTGCTCATACCACCTCAGGAGGGGCCACAGTCCTGGCAGATAAACTGTAGGTGTGACTTTATGCAGGAGCCTCTCCAGCATGGCAGAGGACGATACACCTCAGGCCACCAGACATAGGCAGGTGGTTAGGAGACAGAAGGTGTGAAGGGGCTAGGGGCAGGACAGCTACCTTCACATAGCCACAGGCTCTGATTCAGAAGAATCAGGAGGCCAGGAGGGTGCTGCCAGATGGACATTCTGAGACAGGCAGAAGCGAGCTCAGAAAAAGCATCTTGTCACCTTTGACAGACTTGGCTCTTCCCAGCAATGACAGGATCGAAGACAATTCCAAAAGACTCATGATGGAAAATGCTATCCACATCCAGAGAAAGAACTATGGAGTCTGAAAGCAGAGCAAAGCAAAGTATTTTCCCTTTTTGTGTTGATTTTGCTTTCTCATGGTTGTTCCTTTTTGTTCTGATCCTTCTTTCACAACATAACTAAGGTGAGAATGTGTCTAATATGACAGTATATGTATGGCCTATATCAAATTGCTTGGCATCTGGGAGAGGGGGGGAAATTTGGAACTCAAAATCTCAGAAAAGTGAATGTTACAAGTAAAAATTTTAAAAAGTTTTTAAAGGGTTCCATGAAAATTAAAAACAAACAAACAAACCAACAAACCAAAAGAATAATTGTGTTGGCAGAGTTGGTCTTCAAAGGGCCATCCAGTGTGACCCTACGCAAGTCCTGTTCTGAAGCACTGGGCTCCTCCAAGTGTGTTTTCAGTATCAAACCACCTCTTTTACCTGTAAGAGCTATCTGCGGACTCTGATTTCATTCGTTTGCACCATGACTAAAGTTTTCCTTTTCTGAACCTTTGCATTGGTATGCAGTTGTGACTTTGCATTTCCCTGCTGCTACCACTTAATTGACTTCACAGTACAGTGAGAATGACCTAAAATTTTCTTCTAGAAATGGCTATTAAAATCATCACTAAATTCTTTAATTTTTAAAGAAAGAAAATGGTTTATGTTGCCGAATCCAAAAATGTCTTTTGTACACACAAATGTAATGAAGCTAAGATTCAAAGGGAAACAGTGACCTGAACGGGGAACAATAAAAACTTTGCAGCAACTTTTTCTAAAGATTTCATTTTCAAGATATATAAGGAAATGATTCAAACTTGTAAAGAAAAGAGCCATTCACCATCCACAAATGGTCTGGAGAGAAGAATGGATAGTTCTCAAAGGAAGAAACTCAAGCTCTCTCTAGCCATGTGAAAAAATGACCACTAATCAAATAACAAATTGAAGAAATTCTGAGATTCTACTTCATCGCCCTCTGACTAACAAAGAAAATGAAAAAATAAATAAAAATCATCAGTGTTGGCGGGACTGGGGGACACGCTGCTGATGGATCCGTGAACGGCTTGACCATGTCAGAAAGTAATTTGGAATCGTACGCAAAAAGTTATTCAACAGTGAGGCCACTTGGACCCAGCTATGTGACTTCTAGGGCTACATCTCAAAGAGATCAAAGAAAGCAGAAAATATCCTTCTCATAAAAAAAAAAAAACAAAATGAAGCAACTTACAGAGGATCTCTTCATGGTGTCAAAAACTAGAAAGTAAGGGGATGTCCATCAGCTGAGGAATGGATAAATGAATCAAGCAGACCAATGTGAAGGAGAATGAGTGTGCTGAAAGAGCTGAGGGACCATGTGACTCCAAAGAGGTGTGGGCATGGAAAGACCTGCTCACCAGATGCAGAGGAAAGTGAGCGGAGCTGGGAAGAGCAGTACTGGAGAGCACGGGCTAGACAAGAAAGAACATTTGGGGGGTGTTCTCTCTGCTCTGCAAAAAGACCATCTGTGAGGTGGGAGGTCAGCCATCCGCTATGGGCACTTGTTTGGTTCAACTATGCATATAATTACAAGAAATTTGGTTCTTCTTTTCCCTAACTGGATCGGAAGGAGAAAAAAGAGACTTCTGTGAATTTTTTGAAGAGGAAAGGTGGGGGGATATTACATATGTGACATGATGAACATGCTTTCTTAAGAAGTTAATACATCATTCTTAGTCTTACTAAAATATGGCAGTCTGTCACAAGAAGTGAGCATAATCTGTAAAGGTTTGAGAGAGACCACAGTCCAGCACCTGATCACAGAGATGGGACAATTCTGTTACACAAGTGCATCCTAAGTAAACTAAGGCAGCAAGAAACCACAAATCAGAAGTCATCCATAAAAATGAAAGGGGACTGAAAACCACCATTTTCCTGAGCTGGCCTTTTCAAACATTTTTTTCCAAAGGCAGACACCAAGGCGTCAGAGCAAGGCGAACAAGGGCTTCAGAGGAAGGAGCGGGAGACCCCACATCTGACACATCTGCCACCCAGTCACAGCATGGTGGGCAAGGATATCTCTCCCTCTTCCCTTGGGGGGCCTCACTCATTTCCAATGAGGACTGGGGCTCCAACTTACTTGAGTGAGGCCTGACATCAATTCTGATTTCAATTCCTCCAGAGTAAACAGCAAGGACATTGCAGCCTTTTGATCTGATGATGTCCAGTCATTGATTGTTCTGTTAAGAAGAAAAGAAGGTGTTAAAAAATGTAGATTTGCAATAGCCTACCTCCCTAGCAAGGGCCTTGCAACATTCTGTCTGCCAGAGGGAAAGAACTTCAACAAGTAAGTGGGAAAACATTCTGATTCAGCCAGCTTTGTGAGTGATTTGGCTGGAGAATTTTTGTTATGGAAGAGTCTGTTTCCGTGAGATGATGCAATTTAGATGGAAAAACAAAAGGCTGCAATAAACCTACTTGTAACCAAAAAAGACAAATCATAAAACAGAGATGCTGGATTACAAAGGGTGACCGGGTACCCCGTGGGCTATCAAAGTGACCAGTTGTTGCCTGGTTGTATGACACGTGAACCTGAGGAAGGTTCAAACCGTTTGGCTTCTGCCTTGCCTTCATATTCCTCTTAACACTGATAATGGCAAGGACAGCAACTTGATAAATTCCAATGCCTTCTATTGGAAGAAATGGAATTTCTCCTGTTGGAGAAATGCCCAAAGCCAGGGCATCCAGCAATTGGTTTCAGAGCCAATAACCAAGAGGCATCGGGGTTCCACTGCCTCCAGCTCACTGAGGACATAGATTACAATCATGTCAACAACCTTAGCATCCATCCCAAGCACAGCCCATAGGCTGCCTGGCTACACCAGCTCAGGGACAAGAGGAGCTGCCCTTCAGAGCAAGGTAGACAACAGAACCCAGACCCATCCCAAGGGAGGATGGACCTGGGGAAACCTGTGAGTCTGGGCACCTGGCCCGTTCCACTGGCTTTGAGGGAATGATCCCAAGGTCAGAGGGAGGAGAGAGGGCCACATTTTCTACTCCCGGCAACTTTGAGTTTCCCATTTCATCTGACTTCTAAGGGATGTCAGCCCCTCAGTCACAAACGGCCCACCTGTTCAGGGTTTGGTTCATGAAGCTGCTCAGAAGCCCAGACACATGCAGCAGCTGCTGCCTCAAGTTCTCCAGCTGACTGTGATGCCCCTGAAGCTTCTCCAGGGCAGGGGGAAGGGCCTCCCCAGCACCATGCTTCTGCCAGGCTCTGGGCTCAAAGCCCTTGTCCTTCTCCAGCTGATCCATCATGTGCTGCAGCTGCTGGATTTTCTGCTCACCTCTCTTCTGCTGCAGCTCGAACTCCTGCTGCCAGCCCCGCAAGCACAAGATGAGAAGAAAGCACAATGTTACACACTGCTGTAGCACAAGCTTGAGAAGTTACAGGCCAAGGAAGAGGATGCACTGGAATGCAGGAGTTGGGAGGACCCGCCGCTGGGGAGGGCCAGGGACCCAGCTCTTGCAGACACAGGGCCTGCTGTTCTCCAAAGCCCCACAGGGCTGTCACTGGCTCCATCAGGGAAAAGGCTCAAGCTGGGACAAATGTAGCCTCCTAGAAAAGGTCACAGGGTGTGTGGGCTAATGCTTGACTCTGGGCCAGGTTTACAGAGGCACACTGGTGGCTGGCTGGGGAGCACAGAATCACAAGTGGAAGAGACTCTTGCAAGCAAGCTGGCCCTACTCTCCTGTTTGAGAGATGAGCAGACTGAGGTCCAGAGAGAGAGGTGCTTTGTGCAAGGTCACACAGCTAATCCCATAAGAGACACAGAGGCACGATCCAAATCCAAGCCCTTGGACTACTGCTCTTCTTCCTTCTTCCCTGTCTGGTAGTCAGGGCCCTGAAACACACTGCCTTGAGAAATATTGCCACCCCACAAAGTTCTCAAGGCTGGCCATGAGTCTAAGTCGAAGAGGACTGTTGCTAACCACTGCCACTGCTCAGGAAGCCCTTGTTCCCACCGCCCACCTCGCCTCTTCTCAAACTGTATTCTGGTCCATGTCATCTGGTCTTGACTCAGCCCCCACTGACTGCAACAAGACAGTCCTTTTGCTCCCAACCTCTCAATCTCCCAGCCCCAGCACTGGGCTCTCTCATGTCCCCTCCCCTTCATCTTTTATCCCTTGGTCCCCTCCCCCACAATCTCCCCTCCTTTCCTCCCCTTCTCACCTTGGCCACCTCCCTTCTCTGTCCCCAGCAGATTGTATCCTCAAGCCAAGACCTCAGCCCATAATTCCTGGGCTTATTTCATGATAATTTCACTCCTCTAAAAGGTCCATAGGGAAGCAACCAAGGGGAATTGTATCCTTCTCTACAACCAGTTGCCCACACACATATCAATGGCTTGCCACCATTCTCATCAAAATCCCAACTGGAGCGGCCCACCCCCGGCTCACCATTCTCCTGCTCTCCTCCCAGTTCCCATGGGACCAAGCTGTCAGCTGCATGCAGATGACTCCTTCCTGCAGATATTGGGCCCTGTCTCTTCTGGACATTCTCAAACCTAATGTGTCAGAACTCGTTGCTTTCTCCCCCAAACCCACCCCTTTCTCTGGATTTTCCTCTATCTGTGGAGGATACCCCAATCCTCCCAGTTCCCCTCAATTGCTGCAGAATCCATCACTTCATCATTTCGACAACCATGTCATCTCTTCTCTCCAGAGACATTGTCCAAGTTCCTTGCCTCTCACCTGGCAGTCCCTCATTGGTCCCCATCCCCCATTCATGGTTCATGCTGCTGCCAAAAAGATTTCTCTCAGGTGTCACCTCTTCTACCTTCTCAAGAAATCCAGGGGCTCCTGCCTACCTACAGGCTCCAGCAGAAAGGTCTCTGCCATTTCAGTCTCCTCTGGCTGTGTCTCCTTCTTGCAATCTTCTTGCTCCTTCTCCCTGGCTTACTGATGCACTGCAGCCTCCCACCTAACCGTATTCTGCACAGAGACTGGAGCAACCTTGCATCTGTAGGAGGGTTGCCCCCCTGAGAGAACATAGGCTTGATATTCCCTGTCCCACAGAGCCCACCCCCAGGCAGGAAGGGGGGTCACAGAGGGCACCCTGGCGCCAGAAGACAGATGCCAAGCACCCTGGGGTTCTGAGGGCAGGCGACCCTCACTAGCCTCTCCTGGTCTTTCTTGCCCTTCTTGCCCTTGTCTTCCTCTGCCTTAGGCTCACGCCATTTCTGCTTCTCCCTCCTGGCCTCCTTGCCAGCCTCTTCCTTCGGCCTGGTCTCTAAGTGCTCCAGCTCTGTGTGTAGCCTACCCTGCTTGGCCCTGTCGCCTTCCAGATAAAATAGCAGCTCCTGCTCCTGCCTCTAGAGGGCATGTCCTGAGGCCTGTAGCAGTGCTCTCACCTCTTTCTCTTTCCTGAGCTCTTCAAGGGTCATTTGGACCTCCAGCTCCAGCTGCTTCCAGCTGGCCATGCCCTGCTGGCGGGCATCCTCCAGAAGGGTCTGGAGCTGGGCTGCCGGCGACTTCTCCTCATTCAGCTTGCCCTCAAAGGCAAACTACATCAGGGCCTCCTTCTGCCCGCACACCTCCTGGGTGAGCTTGCTCAGCTGCTCCATGAGCAGGCGCTCCTGCTTCATGGAGGCCCTGAGCTCAGCTGAGTGGGCACGCTCCACCTCCAGGGCCCTCTGCAACTCCAGGGCCTGGTTGCGCTCCTGGCACAGGACTGCCCTGCAGCGCCACTGCTCAGCCTCAAGCTTCTCTTGGAGCTCCTTCTTCTCCTTCTGCTCTAGCTGCAAGCTGATCAGCAGCTGCCACATCTGGCTGCACTCCTCCCAAGACACCTACAGTTCCTGGGTGGGGAAAAGAAGGGCCAAAGCTGCGGCCTGGCCTGGCCTGGGCCTCCTCCCTCAATCAGTCACAGCTACTGACTGCTATACAAACTGGGAAATGCCACAGTTGCTCCGAGTCTACACTCGCCAACTGCCCCAAGCCTTTCTCCTGCCCTGTCCACCCCTGCATGTCCAGGGGCTGCCACTAGCAATGGGCACCACAGCTTCCCTCCAGGCTTCATGCATCTGCCCCAAGGGTCCTGGACCTCAGCTGGTCCTTCTCCAGACTCTGCCTCTGCTCCTCTTCCATGAGGGCCTGCAGCTCCTTAACTTGCTGCTTCTCACCCTGCAGCATGTCCAGGGCTGGCTTCAGAAAGGGGCCTAGTAGGTGGACCACCTCCCCACCCCATGCCAGAGGCACACCAGAGGGACTTGCCCCTGCCAAAGAGCCCGGGATCATGGGCACAGCTCTACCCTAAGGACCTCAGACAGGGCATGGCATGTGCCCCATTAGAAAAGGGCCCCTTGAGAGCAGGGATGGTCTCCTCTACACACACATATGCACACACATGCACATAGAGCACCAAATTGACTAGTCTGCTTCGAAACCCCAAGAGAACAAAGCAGGCAGGTACCTTAAGGTAGTCTAGAAAAGCAGCTTTTCAAACAACTTGGACACTGGCCTCACCTGTTCCTGCTCTCTTCTCTTCTTACAAAATCTATGTTCATAAGAAATGAACTCCCACCATCTTTAGGGGAAGACCCTGTGGTCACGCCTAAGGGCAACAGGGTGGTCATAGTGTACATGGCCCATACAGGCTCTGATGCTGGGCAAAGGCAGACAGATACCATCCACCACACCTCCTGGCCCACCTGCTGGGCCTCCCCTGCCCATCAGGGGGTTGTTTCCACAGCCACAGGTGTTTTAAAGACTCCTGGTGACTAGTAGGGCCCACATTCCCAAGCCCTGCAGGAGGATTACCTTCATATCTTTTGAAAACGTGCTGGATTTCTCAAGGTGGGTGTGCACATTTCTTACCTGCTCTGTAGCTTGCTTTCCTGCCCTTGCTACAGGGGAAATGGCACTACCTAAAAGAGAACAACAAGAAAAAAAAGGTCAGAGTGATCCCAAGTGACCTCTACATGCCAGCCTGTGCAGGCCTATTCTGAAGAATCAGATGAAAAAGAGGGCCCCCTTTGGGCTGTGCCTCCGCAGACAACAGGAAGAGCAGCACTTTGCGGTCAAGGGGGAGGCTCCCAAGGAGCTCTGGCACAAAAGATGCAAAGACATCAAAGCACCAAATCACACACTCTAGTCCAAAGAGGGGGAGAGTGAAGGAGACATTTCTTGCTTCAACAGAGCCATTCACAGATCAAACAGATGCCAAAGAAGATCTAGGACACCTATGAGTGCTTCTTGGCCACATGGACAGTCCTGCTTTGTGGCTGTGCTGCCCGACCTCCACCCCAGTCACCCCTGATGGCAATCTGGGCCCCTCACGACTTTTGGCAGCACCCCATCTCAGAGCCCTGCTCAGGGGACAGGCCAACAGGAGAGGGCCTCAGGGCCAGCACCAACTCACTGATGCCGTCCATCACTGTCCACGCCTAAGCCAGTTACACTGGAGTGAAGGTCTTCTTGCGCATCCATTGGTGTTATGATGAAATCATGGCCACAAACAGAAAGAGACACAGAGAGACAGGACAGAGACATTGAGAGAAAAAGCCAGGGACAAATGAGAGAGAGTGAGAGAGAGAGAGAGAGAGAGAGAGAGAGAGAGAGAGAGAGAGAGGTGGGAGGGGAAGGAAGAGACACAGGGAAGGAAAAGAGAGACAGAGACAATGTCCAGGATTACGAGGGTAGCATTACACAGTGCCACTCTCCTGGCCAGACCACATCTGGCATGGAGAGCTCTGGGGGCCAACTTTGTGGATGGATACTGTACCCAGAGGGAGCTCATGGTAACAGGAGGGCCACCTCCAAATGCCAGAGGACTGCCACGTGGAGGAGAGGGGCCAAGCTATTCTGGGCAATAGAAAGAGGGTACAGACCTGCAGACTCGGCCTGGCTGAGGGAGGTATGGGGCTGGAGGTGTAGGCTTGTCCCTAGGGCTTCTGAGAGGCCTTCCAGCCCCCAGAGTCTGTGAAATATAGTGGGTGAGGATAAGCTGCCTCTGTCCCTGTGGGGAAGCCTTCAGGAGATAATCAAAAGAAACCAAACCAGCACCAACAAACCAGAATCCTAAAATGGACACAGACGTCACTCCAGGGCCTCCCCAGCCTCTCACCCATCTGTCACATGCCTAAAAAGGAGGCCCTTTGCTTCACATTGAACAAGACAAAACCACCTCCCAAGCCCCCATTTTGAGCCCAGACAACTACCCCAGCAAGGCGAACTGCCACTTTCTGCTGTTTGGCCCAAGCGTTTGGGATCTCAGAGAGGGCAGAGACTGCACGCCTGTTATTGTACTGTGGCTTGCCAGAGTGGAAGCCAGAATGCAGATGTTCACTGGCCTGCAAGGACAACAGATTTCTGGGCGTGGATCATATACAGCCACCAAGTAGCTTACCTGAATAAACGAACAAGAAGAAAAAAATTGCCATCGGCATTTTTTTCATTTGGTAGCCAGTACCATGGCATCTGGCCTTCTGTTACTGGAACCCTGAAGGTTGTTAGGTACCATCCACTGGAATATTCTGAGGGCACAAAGTTCTACCAAGCCAGGCAACTAAGCCAGAATGCTAGAGGATGATGGCACCTGGGGTAAATGCAGAGTTGCCTCATTCATTCCTGAGCTTTATTGATGCAAAAGCAGCAGGCTAGCTCTGGAAAGAGGACTAGCAACTTACCAAGGGATAAGGGTCTGTTTGATCTAAGAAAATAAGGGGAGGGGAGGGCATGACACAGGATGAGGACGATGGATGGCAGGATAGGGGACCTAGGAGAAGGAAGATGGGAAATTTTATGGTTCAGCATGAGGGAGACAAGGAATTTTGACAGTCCAGCATAGGCAGGAGGTTTTGTGGTAACTCAGGATAAGGGAAAGAGACTCTAGGATGCCCTCAAATTCAGGAAGGGCCTCACAAGGGGCTGCAAAAAGAACCCTTCATTAAAATGGGTTTCTTTAAAAAGCTTTTAGCTTTTAAGGCAATGTTTCCTTTGAAATCACCAGTCTGATGGGCTTAGTCCTCATCATCACTTATACTGTCAGCCCCCTTTGCACCTTCCTCCTGGGTCTTCTGTCCTCATTTTTCTCTTTGTTGTCGAGCT